ATCATTTCAACATTTTAAGTTGAAATCGTCTCCAGACAGAAACTAACCGCTCCTCGTCTTCGTTATCCTCCGGCTGTTTTCCTCACAGAAGATGTCGATGTATTATTTTCTAATCCTTTAATATCATTCCTTCATGCAGCCCTGTCATCATATTACGATTCCCCTTCTTTCCTCTCTCTGTCTCTCTCTCTCTTTGAAAAGAGCCGAGGTTGATTCTCTAATCCGTGTCACCCGTGTCTTCACCAACGTAAACAGGAGCAGGCTCATTAAGAACTGTAAGGCTGTAGCAGGGCGACATGAACTATCAGGGGAAAGAGCAGCCATCCTCTCTCTCCTCCTGGTTCCACGTGATTCATTGAATTCATCAGAGAATCTGTAAACACACAGATCTTGAGGCTGAAGCCATCCTGTTTATTTTATGACAAACTGTCTTTAAGTTATTTTCCTGCTCTCTCTCTCTCTCTCTCTCTCTCTAATAATAAGAATATGAGTTATTATAAAAATGATTCATATAGCACTTTCCTTTAACCCATTTCCAAATCTCTCAATATCAAAATTAGGTTTCTTTTACTCTGAAGTGCTTCGTAAATTCATTCCATTTAGTTGCCATGAAAATAACATGGATGGTCCCATTCTATGCTCTTTGGGAATAACATCAGTGACACTTTCACTGAATTGTGGGTGTTTTATTCAAACATATTGTATCTTTCCAGTGGACGGATTTTGTCCATTTGGACCCGAGAAGACAACAGGTGTCGTTCTGCCATTAAAACTAATGTAAATGGTCTTAAAAAAGAATCCCGACAGAAGAAATCAGTCCTCGTGTTGACGTCCTCTCTGTCTGTCAGGTTTGATCAGCTCATTGTTTGGTCCATTCACAACCTCATCATCAGCAGATCGGACCGTTACAGAGACAGTGAGTCTGATCCCAGCCACACACACTGAGGTTTGAGTTACTGACGCTTCAGGTCCAAATAAATAAAACCACAGCTACGGTAGAAATAACTCACCTGCTGTGGAAATGCTCTGGTTTGGTTCTGTCAGGACAATCTATGGGAGGAAACATAGAATATTACCATCAACCACTCATGTTCAATGATTTGCTTCATCAGCCACAATGAATGTAAACACACAAACTGTTAAAATCCATAGTTAAAACTCACAAAATGTGTAGTTTAGTGAGTTTATTTAAATTACATGGTGAGTAATTTATCTACTTTATTATATTGAGACAACAGAAGACATATTGTCTGGTCTTCTATGGACAAAGTGACTTTTTGTCATTGTGATGGTTCAAAAACTAACTTTATTTTATGTCACATATTGTATTGGCCAGCTCTAATGTTTGGAGCAGGAATAAAACATGGGTCATTAGTTTTCTGACACTTTTAAATAAAGGTTAATGTACTGACTTTCTGAAGGTGTTCCTGTACAAGAGTAAATATTGCATAGACAATTAATTAATTTCAATGTATTTTAATTGGTCTTATAAATGAGACAGGGTGACTCTAAATAAATGATATATATTGACACTAGAAAGATTAGATAAGGAAAGATGTTTCTTTATTGGTCCTCTGTAGAGGGAATTCATAATCCACACAAAGGGAATATTTAGTAAGAGTATAAATAAGGTTATTTTTCTTACTGTTGATGTACACTTTACACTTAGTTTAATTTAATTTACTTTTACTTCATTTTTATCTTAATTTGAATTTTAGATTTTAAAAAGTACACTTTCATATAGTCTGCAGTGTTAGTGTAACTATAAGAAAGGTGTGAACTAGAAACACCCTCACCCCGACCAGCAGGATCAACGATTAAATCTTGATGAACCAGTTATCTTCAATGAAAATGAACCAGTTAATTAAGGTGAAGGTTTCAGAGCTGCGACGCATTTCAAGTCATCTTCACTGAACTCGTGTGTCATCCCTCATTCTTAATTTTGACCAACATATCTCATGATTCCTTATCAGCTGTTAGACAAACAGATCCATTGATACACAGACTACAGACACAAAAACACTAAACAATGACACAATATCACTGAACTGGACGTTGTTATAAAAACCTGAACTTTAGAAATATATAAATACTTTGTTCAGGATATGTGGGGATATATGAAACACTTGTTAAAGGTACGTCAGAAATGATTCCCATTCAAAAAACTCAAATGCACCAGTCACTCCTTCACTTCACTTAACACAGATTTCGCACCATGGTTCATTATTTAGCAGTTAGGCTGAGGAACAAGATCAGTAATACACTTTAATCTCAGGAGAAGTCGTTTCCTTTTTTAAGAGTGAAACCTGTAGACACTGAAGAGGCTGTGGTTGAAATCAGCTCAGTTGTTGTTGTTGCCTCCGGCCTCAAACCATGAGCTCGTCTGCAGCCACATCCACCTGTCACACCTGTTACTCATCATGTGTCCGACTCAGGTTTCACTTTGAAAACATGAGAAAGCAGCTTCTCTACTTTCAATCAATGAGAAAAGAGCCCGATTCAATCTCTAGTTCTTTTGAAATATAGTCACATCACTTCCTTGTGGCCGTGTGGAGTGAGAACGGGAGTTAGATGAACTTTAACCCCAAACACAACTTTTCTAAACATATAACAAAACCCTTACCTGTTAGGATGAGTTATATATCAAATCTGTCAGTACATTTCCATTAAGATCGTCTCTCCCGGTTCACCGACTGACGGAGTGTGTGCGTTTCAAAGAGCCTGACGCTGTAGCCGTCACACACCCACAGACAACAGAGAGGAGAGGGAGGGCCCTGTGATATCTCAGCTCTCCTGTGTTTACCTGGCCAATCTCATAAACTGGAATGCAGCTATTCAGGAAGTGTTGGCTTTACCACACAACACCGTCGCTGTCATCTGCCTACAGAGTGAGAGGTCACGGTCGTATTCAGGCGTCTCTGTGACACTCACGACCATGAAGAGGATATTTCTGAAGATTGTTTTATTCCTTCTACAAAAGCTGAAGTTGACGGTGTTGCGGCCTTGAATGTTTTTAGAGGAGCTGGAAACTGGAGACAGGTTATGAATGTAAAGTAGTGTTGTTTTAGATTACTGCAGGCATTCATACATTCATAGGAATTGGCAGAAATGGGAGAGATGACCTCGACAATCAGACGATACATGGACATGGACTAAGATATGTGATTGACAGGGTGAAACCCTTCCAACTAAATTCCTGGGAGGAGTCAGAAAGGCCAAGGCAAACTGTGGAAGTATAAGCTAATATCAGAGATCGATGAAATGTTGTATTACTTAAAGGAATGGGATCATACACATCATAACAATCTCCTAAATGTGTATTGTTTTTAAATCAAGACCATGAATGATTCCCTGGGAAATTAGTGAAGTCAAAAAAATGCCACAATGCTAAAGGATCCACGCCAAACTCTGATGGATTGTTTTTGGCCTGTGTCCCATCAGTTTACCACGATTTGTGGAAATCTGTTCAGTCGGTTTTGTTTAAAGCTGACAAACAAACAAACAAACAAACACACACACACAAACAAACACACACACACACACACAAACAAACAAACAAATTAAAAAAAAATAGATTAAAAAAACAGGAAAGGATGGGAAACAGTAAAAAACCTTTAAACGACTACATCTCTATAAAGAACTCACCCAGATTTAGCCTCTGCTTTTAAAAACGAATATCATTCTTTATCCCTCCCACACTGAAAACCTGTATTCACCCTAAGTGAATAGAAGTAAAAAAACATTATACTCAATATCAAAATGAACATCCTATCTCCGGTTTAAGAGATGTGAAATAGTTTTGAATATATTTTCTGTCTGAAGTTATGTAAACAGCAGTATCAGGTTGTCTTTGCTCATTTAGCGAAACAGTCAACTGTGAACTGAAGCGTGGAGATGTTTCCCCCCCCACAGTCTCACTTTTAAACCCCTGACTGACACTACACTGAGTGGATCTGCAATAAATAATGTTTTTCCTTTTAAACAAACATTTGACCCCTGCCCTGACTCGTGACTTGGCGAGCCCCCTCGCACTGTTTAGAATTATAATCCAAATCAGTGAGTATCTCCTGGTATTCATTTCCCATCGACACCTGGAAAAACCCTGTAAACACACGAGGAAGCTGCTGAAGTCAGCAGGACTGATTTCCCCTCACAGCCGCGCTGTCACTTGAACACATGCTGACATTACTCAGCACAACAGCAGCCGTCCATGCGGAGCAGCTGGTGGAATGGCAACAAAGGGAAAGAAAGAAAAACAGCCACAGCCTCTGTGTCACATTACACCAGAAACTCACAGTGGTGAAGCAGCAGATCCAGAGTCAGATAAAGAGTTTAACTGTCTGGTACCAACAGGTATGTGCAGGGTTGTGGAGAAAACCGTGCATGTTAAGATAAAAACACCACATCCACAGGTTTGAAATTAAAAGGCATGATGCTCAGATCAAAGCCAAAATGTCAATTGCAAAGCAGCACATCATGTTCAAATCCAGAAAGCACAGGTCTGGACAAAACTGATTTGTCCTCACTATATAAAAAACAAGAGTGATTACGGTTCTTACAGCGTCAGCAGCCAACATGGACGTTTAGTCAGAGAAGATTAGCTGGTGTCAGAGCAGACGAGGGAATCACAGTGGAAACTTACTGAAATATGACCAATGCATTGATGGGATGTGTTTTAACGTTGATTTGAAAGGATGAAAAACGAGTACAGACACCAGCTGGTTCACAGTGAGACTGACAGACGTGTTCATCCAGCAGCAGGTGGGGCTCAGAACTGACAGGGAGTAGAGAGCTGATTCCTTTTCAGCCACAAACGACACGTGTTGCTGTGACGTGTTAAAGTTTGAGGTAAAAGTCGTGTAGTGAGACAGACTGGTTCTCAGCTCTGTGCAGAAATCCATCAGAGGTGTGTGATGATGAGAAACAGAGACGACACCCAAGGTCGGTATTAATGATGGAACACGTTTTTTTTTTAACTGATATAATTACAAAGTATTTGTGATGATTTGCTCTGGTGTCACAACACGGTAGACTGATCGAGTCGCTGTGTATCATTGACAGAGGGTGTGTAGGTGTGTGTATAATTCCCTGGGTATGATTAAAACCATAAATCAAACAGAATGGAACCAAAGCCCTGTTCTACATTGTTTCATGTATAAAATGACAAAAATAAAAAAAGTTGTTGGTGCAGATGGTCACTTACGTTGTGGAGATAAAAAACATACCAGTCAGCTTTATATCTAGAAGCTCGTGACTGGCTGTAAGACATGAAGTCTGTTGTGTGTCTGATAAAAAAATACTGAAGAATCAGAGGTTCAAAGTTCAATGTGTTTCAGCGCTCGTTCAGTTCATTGAGTTAATTAATACTACAGTCTGTGCAAAACAACCAACAGAGGTATTCTTATGCATTTAAGTTTATAAGAATCCAAGAGCTGTACTATGATATGAAGGTATTTGTGTGTGAAGACATCAATTTTATGTTTTACAGTGTGTATCTGTCCATACATTGACTGTACACAGGTTGATTAAATGCTCTTAGCTTTAGGTTTCCATTATTTTTCATTGAGCCGTTAAAGGACCATCTCAGTGTTTTAGTTCCTTTACCTGCAAATCATATTTTTCTTTTTACAATACTTAATATATTGTCACACAGTACCCTACTTCATGTTTCCAACTGTGGAAGATTTCCCCTTGGTTTCATTTCTTCAGTCTGACTCTAAGGTGTATTGTCCGTGTTTTGACCTCTGTCAGGTCACATTATTGTTGTGTTCTACAGCAGCAGACGTACAAAGACACGTATAAGTTTAAATCACACAACCAACACAACTTTGACCGAAGAGAATATGACAGATTAGATTATAACTATGATGGATTCAACAAGTTTTAAAGACTCTGCTCATAGATTCTCACACACTACAGGAATGAATGGAAACACTGGGGGTTGTGTAAAATATGATAAAGGATGAACTGAGGTGGAAATGTGGCACATGAGGTTCAGTCAGTGTCAATCACACACACACACACACACACACACACACA